GCCTGTGCTGCTCAGCTGCCTTTACCTCACTGCCTTGTGCCCTAGCCCTGAGTCTCTCCTCTAACAGGAGCACCCATTGGACACATGCTCCTTCTGCGCCCCCAGCCTGGGGTCTCCCCCGGGGCCCAGGCTCCTGCCCTTTGGGCAGCTCGGGCTGGGAGCTGAGGGATGTTTGTTGAATTGAACGGCATGAAGCCTCAGCCAGGAGGAGCTGCGGGAGCAGAGCTGGCCAGGGCTGCTGTGTCTCAAAGGGAGGTGGATCCTGAGGCATCTGTTTGAAATGTGGCGTCAGGGCCTCCTCTGCTGCTCCTGGGGGACACATACTCCAGCTGCGCCAGGCCAGGGTGCAACTGCCTGCCCTTCGGCAGCAGAGGCGGCTGAGGGCTGTGGCCCGGGATCAAACACTGCCTCACCCCCAGCTCCTTCGTGCCCCAGCATGTAGGCAGCTGTGCACTGTGCCCGCTCAGGCTTGTCTGAAGCTTCGGATAAGAGGCGAGGCCTTTCCTGGGCCCTTTGTCGAAAGGAGAGCCTTTCCTGGCCAGGGTGGCCCAATGGTTGAGCTTCGTCCCATGAACCAAGAGGTCACTGGTTCGAATCCCAGTCAGTGCACATGCCCGGGTTGCGGGCTGGATCCCCAGTAGAGGGCGTGCAGGAGACCGCCGATCCATGTTTCTCTCTCATCGATGTTTCTAGCTCTCCCTTCCCTTCTTTCTAAAATCAATTTTAAAATATTTTTTAAAAAAAGAAAGGGAGAGCCTTTATGGCCCTGCTTCCCTCCAGGCCGGTTCCCTGGGTCCCTCCTCCTAGTTCATCTCGGCCATGGGCATGCTGTGTGAGTCTGGGTAAGTGACTCCCCCTCTCCGGGCCTGGACTTGACCATCTGTAAAATGGATCCACAATCCCTGCACCCCCCTCGCTTCATGAGGGCTGCTAGGGGGGTCACATGAAGTAATGGTGTGTTTTTGCAAACCGTAAAGCATTGTGCACCCTCCAGGAGGGTGGCTCTCACAGCAGCCTGTCGCCTTTGGCAAACTGTCAGTGTCCGGATCACCCCTCTGCCCACCAGGGAAAGTGACCTGACCTCCCTGCTCCCAGCAGCAGGGCCTGCCTGCCTGAGCTTCTGTAACGCGGCCCTTTCTCTGGGAGGATAGATGCAGTGCCAGGACCTGAGCACCAGCGGCCCCTTCCCCACAGCTCTCATTTCTTAGTCACAACCAGCCTGGCAGGTTGGCGGCAGGAATGATCGCCCCATTTGACAGATGAGGAGACTGAGGCTAAGGGAGCTGGAGCCGGGACCCAAACCCGGATCCTCCCAGGCGCCAACGAGCCTCGGTGGGAAGAGAAGGGAAGAGCTGCTGGCTGACCTTTGTTTGAGCGGCCCTGTCACGTCACTCCCGGGGAGCCGGCTCCAGCATCCCGCTTCGTGACTCCCAGGCTCACAGCACCCGCTGCCAGCTCTGTCCGACCACCCATCTGCCTCAGCTCCTGCTTCCTGGGTGACCTCCCGACTTCATTAGCCTCAGGGCAGGAGATGACGGGGGAATAGTTGCCAGGAGCTGGGGTTGCTCAGATGAAAGGATCTAGAAGTAGCACGATTCTTCTCGCCCTGAGGTGGGGTGGGGGAGGGGGGTGCAGCAAGTCACCATGGAGCCGTCTCCCGGGGTGGGGCTTGTTTCTGAGTAGCCCCCAGCCAAGCCACCCCACAGGGCGTCCACCTCTGACCTACCCAGGCAATTCTCTGAATACTTCCACATTTTCTAAAAACACTCCAGAAAGAAAAAAATAATTCCCTTTGAGAAGTTCCTGGGGTCTAACCTAAACCTGCTGCATTTCATTCGCCAGGAGAGGCGGCGGGAACCTGTGCCTCGGGGAGCTCAGTCTCCAGGGGAAAACTCACGAGACAGCTGTCATCACAAAGCGGGGTGTGCGGGACCGTGAAGAAGACGCCTCTTCCCTCTGGGTCCCTGGGGTTCGGGTTGAGGTCCCTGGGCCACACGGTTGGGAGAGGAGAGAGGAGGTTGGGAGAGGAGGAGAGAGGAAGAAAGAGGCCCCTGGGGGTGCAAGTCCAGGCCTCCCTCCTCCTGTCCTTTCCTGGGCCCCTCCTCCGGGCCCCTCCACGGCCCCTCACTCTTAGCCAGCCCTTGTGACTGACCTGGCCGCCAGGGGCCGAGGGCATCGCCTGCAGGTGCCCTAGGCCAAGGGCTCCCAGAACAGCCACAGATCCTCTCCCCTAATCTTGGGACCCGGAGTTTGAGCAGAATAACCAGCCCCTCACTCTAGGGATCTGAGCTCCTTCTCTTCCAGGGCCAGGGCCTCAGGGTCCAACCCCAATCAGGAACCGTTTGCCCAGGGGTGGGCTCCTGGGGGAGGTGACGGGGACTCCCAGACCTTGGGCAAAGTGTTCTGTTCTCTGAGCCTCCGTTTTCCCGTCTGCAAAATGAGCCCCCCTGCGGGGGTTATATGCAGGTTCCAGCGGCAGGAACGCGGTACAGACCCCATCAGCCCACAGCGTGTCTCCGTCCTGAACAGCCTGCCTTTGGCCGGGCTGCCCCTGGGAGGCAGGGCTGGGAGCACTGTGCCAGCCTCGGCCTCCCGGCCTCTCCCGGAGGGAGGCACCCTCCTTCCTCCTGGTACCGGGAGCCTGGGCTCAGGGCAGAGGCGCAGCCATCACCAGCTCCCTTCGGTAACCAGGAGCAGGCGGTGGCGGCCGGACAGGCTGGGCTGTGAGGCCCTTCCTCAGAGCCCCCCTCCCTCTGCCGCACCCCATGCCCACTTCTGAGGCTGGCGACTCAGGAGGCAGCAGGACAGGTGCTGCCTGCAGTGGAGGCACCTCTGTGGCATCACGTGCCCATGTCGTCCTCACCGGAGCCAGGGCTCCTCTCCTGCCCACTTCTGGGGACACCTGCCTGGCCTCCCGCTCCTCACCATTGGAAGGGGGGCTGTGCGCCCCGCCCCATGCCTGGCAGCCAGCAGGGTGCATGCCCGCTCCCCCACAGCCAAGGCTGACTCAGGCCACACCCGCGGCACGTTGGGTGCTCAGGCCCAAAGCCCCCGTGCTATCTCGGGCAGATTCCTTTGCAAGGCACGTACACGGCAGCGGATAAGCGCGCAGCACTTCGTGTGTGAGGTGATCTCGGAAGACTAATTCTCCTCCGCCCAGTGGTGCATTTCATCTCCAAGTTCCGTTGCTGCCCTGCCCCCGGGGGACCCCCTGCAGCTTTCCTGAGCCCCTCCTCTCCTCACAACCCTGCCTTCCGGCCAGGGACCTGGGCTTGGGCAGAGTGGGTGCGGAGAGGACCGGGGTCCCGGAGACACGGGGACTTGGCCACCCTGCCTCACTGGCTGGACGTAGGTGCTCATCAGTGGGAGGAATGGCTCTGAGCTGCCGGGGAGGGTCCCAGGGGACCCAGGAGGGACCTGACCAAGACCTGCTGGTGACACACAGCTTTGTTTCGCAAACCCCAGTCACACCCCAGGCAGAGGGAGGGACCCTGTGGGGTTGCCCAGTGAGTAGTCTGGGCACGGAGGTGAGATTCCAGAGTCACTACCCGGCCCTGGGTTCAAGCGCTGGCTGGGCATTTTGCCTTCCGAGTGACTGTGGGCAACGTCTTCTCTCTGAGCCTCGGTTTTCTCATCTGCAAAATGAGCCCCCTCGCAGGGAAGTGTTTGCAGGTTCCAGTGGCAGGAACACGGTACAGACTCAGAGGACAGCAGTGACAACGCGGTGCCCACCACTCCAGAGGCCGCTGACCGCAGTGACTGGGGGGCTGGGACGTTGCCACATCTGTGCCAGGCCATCGGAGGCGGCCACAGGGTCAGAGGTGCCCTGCCGCGGGGTCCAGGGTTCAGCATGGATATCATGGGGCTCTGCCCTGCCAAGCCCTAGAGGTCCCAGGGCCTCCACATGCTCCCCACACCAGTGTGGCCAGAGGAATGACCCAGTCCGCCTGCTCTTCCATCCACCCAACAGCCAGGCCCTCGGTGCCTGCCCTCGGGGGGCTCCTGGTCCAGGGCACGTCTCCTGGGCCTGGGGTTGGCAGCCCCGAATGCCAGCAGCCTTTATCCCCTCCAAAGGGATCTGTGCCCCCCAAAGACAGTTAACAATCACAGCCTATGGGACAAGCGCTCCCTCAGGGCAGGGCCAGGACAGCTGTCCACTACGGCATCCTCAGGGCCTGGCTGGAGCCTGGCTCGTGGGGACACCAGTGAACGCCTACTGGACGTGTGGATGAGTGAATGAATGAAGTCAAAGCGATGACTCAGTGATAAGTACCACTGAGGGGGCAGCAAGGGCTGTGGAAACATGAGGAGGGGCCCCTCCTAAACTGGGAGGAGGGCTGAGGAAACAGTCATGAGAGGCTTCCTGGAGGAGGCGGCATCTCGTTAGGCCAGTGGACGAGGAGCAGGAGAAGTGGATGTGTCAGGCTCAGCGCGCAGCCTGTGCAGAGCTGCCGGAGGGGAGCCACCGTGGCAGGTCTGGCTGCAGTAAACCGTCTTTTCTGTGTGGAGCCCGGGGTGGATGGCGCCCCTGGGGCCTGGACAGGTGTGGAGAGAAAGGCCTGGAGCAAGTTGGGGGGCAGTGTGTCCCCCTCCCTGCAGGTTCAGGCCAGGGCAGTGACGTTCAACCTTGCTCATCTTCACAGCACACATAAACTAATTATTAAAATTCCGCGGCACACCAAAAAAATACTTTTTGCTGATCTGACAAAAAATAGGTATAATTTTGAGTGATTTACACACACACACACACACACACACACACACACACAAATGGTACAGTAATTACCTATCCTTTTTGCTCCAAAGTGACTTTTTTTAAAAAAAACTCAGGTGCCTATACTTGTATGTAAGGATTTCTGGTACCAAAAATTAACCAGTCACACACAAGCTTATTATTCAACGTGACCAATAGAGGCAACTCTATTATATGACCTACACATGGATGGGTCACGGCAGGGCATCCACACCGACAGCTACTGTTGTGTTGGCTTTTCTTTTTTTGACAATCTAAGGGGAAAAGGTCAGTGCCCCTGACTGGCCAGGCATTGCATGTTTAGGGAATTCTTGCGGCACCCCGGCTGAAAATTGCTCCCTCATCTTGCCAATAACGCGGGTGGCTTCCTGGGGGTCTGCGCGCCAGGGCCCGCCCCCGGACTCAGCCTCCTCCCGCAGGCCAGGCCGCAGAACGCTCAGGAGTCCTGGGCGTTTGCGCTTGTGGAGAAGAGGCGGTTTGCGCTCCCACATTTTCTCACGGTGAGCTCTGTTGTGTGATGCGAGAGGACGCAGTCTACGTCACTAAGCAAGCAGGCAAGCTGTCAGTTACAGCTGTGAGATGCACCCCAACGTCAGAGATGTTAAAATGTGGAAAAAAGAGAGAAGGTGCGCCCGGCACCAGCCACACACAGGAATAGCACTTTCGGTGGAAAATAAAAAACCAGGCGCTTCCCGCTGCTCCGTGCCCGCTGACCAGGAGGCAATAAAAGCCACCGGTATTCCCTGCCCACGCCCATCGCGCCAAGAGTGGGCCAGGCGCCTCGTGCACTAACTCATTTAAAGATGCACCGAGTCCAGAGAGTTGAAAATGTGGGGAAATTTAGTCTTTAGGGGGCAGGAGGCTGGGGGTCTAGTCTGAGCTCTGCTTCTAATGTGCTGTGTGACCCTGGGCAAGCCCCTGGCCCTCTCTGGTCTCCGTTTCCCCATGCGTCAGATGCTCGGCGGCCTTCTCCAAGCTCCCTTTGGGCCGTGACAGACGGTCCAGTGAGTCTGGGTTTGCCACTGTGTCTCGGTGCTGCCAGGTGCACTTGGGGCCCAGCTTCCTGTGTGGCCAGCGCCCCCTGTGTCCAGAGCCCAGTTCGAGTTCTTCCCTGGCCTGCCGCCTCCGTCCGTTTCTGGTCTGGGAGTCACAGCTGCCCTGTCGCCCCAGCCCTGGCCTCCTGAGAAGGAGGGAGTCCTTTTGCACCCGGGGTGTTTGTTCTGTGTATCCTGCTGGGGGCCTGCTCTGTGGAGAGCAGACCCCGAGGGCTCGCTGGGGAGGACGGTCCTGGCCTGAGCCGGCCGAGTGGGGCAGGGCAGGGCCAGCGACAGGGCAGGGTCACCCTCTGCATTGGTGTCCCTGTTCTGCCTCGGTTTCCCTCTCCATCCTCTCCAGCTCTGTGTCCCGGCGGCTCTTGCTCTCGCTCCGTCTTTGGGGTGGCCCCTTCTCTGTCTCTGTGACTCCCTTCCCTGAGAAGGGCCCTCCCTGAGCCTGGTCCAGAGGCCCCGACCTGGGGCTGCTTGGTCCTCCTCACGGGGGCGGAGCTGCAGGCCCGGGTCTGCCCTGATGCTGCCTCTTCTGTCTCCTGTCTGTCTGTCTGTCCCACCGTCCCTGTGTCCGTGTGCCTGGCTGCAGCGGCCGAGCTGTGGCTACGTGCTGTGCACGGTGCTGCTCTCCCTGGCCGTGCTGCTGGCCGTGACCGTCACCGGGGCCGTGCTCTTCCTGAATCACACACACACGCCCGGCACGGCCCTCCCGCCCGTGGTCAGCACGGGGCCGGCGGGGGCCAACAGCGCCCTGGTCACCGTGGACAGAGCCGA